GAGAGAGAGAGAGAGAGAGAGAGAGAGAGAGAGAGAGAGAGAGAGAGAGAGAGAGATAGAGTGTGTGTGTACGTGTGAGGTGTTTTTTTCATGGTGTGTGCACGCGTGCGTGCGGGTGTGCGCGCGCGTGTGTGTGAGTCACATAGACAGAGACAGAGAGAGAGAGGACCGAGAAAGGAAATGAGAAAGGAAATGGAAAGGAAATGGAATGGAATGGAAATGAGAAAGGAAATGGAAATGAGAAATAACATGCACGGTTTGTATGGCAGGTAACCGGTCGTTCTAGATTACGACTGGCTTTAGGCGATTAAGCGTCAGTGATAAATCAGCCGATCAACTCCGCATCACGTGAAATAACATGTCAGCGTCCTCATAGACGCTGCGTTTCTGCTGTTATTTTAATTTAAAATCTTAGCGCGAAGAAGTGAAATAAGATAACATGCGTTCGGCATCGATTTGCTTCCTTCTTCTGGCGTGCCTCGCTGCCATGGGGAGTTGTTCCAGAGGACGAGGTATAGCGTCTGACTAACCGTACTCTGCACTAGTCTACTTTGTTATTGTTGTTACTACCACAGGCACAGGCACTTGAAGCGTTTCCATAAAGGCAGTGGCTACGGGTACGGTAGCCGTATCTTAATGTCTCGAGGCTACGGGTACGGGAGTCCATTCGCTTTCATACTTAACGAGACAAAGATGGCGGCGGTGGCGGCAGATTTCGAAATAACGCCTTGGGAAATAAATTCACGATTTGAGAGTTTAGATGAGCTAGAACCCTAACCCTAACCATAACCATAACCCTAAACCTAACCCTAATCCTAACCCTAATCCTAACCCTAACCCTAACGCCCAAAAGGGGCTTCAACGACCGACGGCTACCGTACCTCCAGCCACTGCGTTCAATAAAATATAATGCTAACTAAATACGAAATCTATTTACTACTAACTTCTTAATGTTTCTATACTCTCTTTCACCTATTATTGCCAACAGTTTCCTGTAAATTTCGTCCAAATTCTTCGTGCAACGCTACTAAAATCCTACGCTGCCAGCCGCCATTTCTCTCGCGGCTCCACTGTTGCACCCTTACACTGATATATACACGTATAGCAGGTAGGAAAGCGTGATCGCAAAATTCGCTCGACGCTCGTGGGATTTCACACTTTCACAGCACGAATACACATCCAACAGCTTCCATCTTCGTTTCTATGTCAAGAACAGTGTTCACTTATTATAAAAACATACTGTCTCTCTTCGTAACCGAGCTGTGTCACGCGAAATCACACAAAGACTGACGAAATTCTCGCATTCGCGAACCTTCCACAGTAATGTAAATGGCTGTCAGAATCAGGGCTATATAGACTGGGACTCGCTCCCACCTCGATTACCCATCGAGTGACTAAGCTAAGCCGAGAGGTGGGAGCGAGTGCCAGTCTATGGACTATAGTCGGCGCACTGCTTTCCAACTCCCGTACGAGCCTCGCCATTGGAACGTTGCAAAAACGTTGCAGCGTTGCGGTGCAAGAATGAGGTCACGAAGAGCGCCGGTAGGTGTTTCCTGATTCTGACAGCCATTTACATTTCTGTGGAAGGTTCGCGAACGCGAGAATTTCGCCAGTCTTTGTGTGATTTCGCGTGACACAGCTCGGTTACGAATAGACCGAATAATTCTGTCCCATATACCTTTTTTATATTTTGGTGAGGGTTATTGGAACAGAACGAGGCTCATTGAAATTTCGTGAGATCACATGCAAAATGCATGCGCTGCTAATGCGGCCCGTACGCCGCTATTGGTGCAAAAAAAAACCTACCGTTTCCTTCTACATGGTTTTACCTTGCTACTGATATGTGTATACATTCACTTCAATCGTTATTCACTTCTTAAAAGATTGTTTTTTCAGAAACCCGGCTTCATTTAACTTTAGTAAATTACGTTCGCCATTTACAAACAATCAGACCAATCAGAGCGAGTCTTACAATACACCCTGGGTCTCGCTTGTATCTGTGGCGCTGCAGGAGGCCTGATAGACTCGCTCTGATTGGTCTGATTGTTTGTAAATGGCGAACGTAATTTACTAAAGTTAAATGAAGCGGGTTTTCTGAAAAACAATCTTTTAAGAAGTGAATAACGATTGAAGTGAATGTATACACATATCAGTCTGGGGGGCCTCCCCAAGGAAATTTCAAAATTTCAACGGTCCTTGCAGGGGCGTGTACAGGGGGGGAGGGGTCCAGGGGGTCCGGACCCTCCTGCTCGCGCAGAAAACGCATCTAAGGGGGTCTAATTTCAAATTTTTCTTGGGGGGAGGGCCCCCAGACCCCCCCCTTCGCATGCTCGCAAGTTTGGGTTACAGTTAGACTCCCTTCCTGGTACAAATCCTGTACACGCCCCTGCCCTGGGCACAAAAATGAGCACCATTTGAGCACACATTTGGTCAAGCAGCAATAGCTAAAAACCATATGGAATTTTATTTCTGCTTCATTTTGCCTGCGCTTTGCATACCAGCAATTAATGCAGAATGATTCCATTAGTCCCTTCTTTTTCAGATATCAAAGCTAGTTTTGTTACCATGTAAAATTTTGATTTCCTTCAAGTCCTGTCAATGAATCAGAAGAAAAAGAGAACAAATAAAGAATATAGCCAAATTCGATCAAATTGTTTTCTGTATTTTTTAGCGCAAAATTTCGAAGGGCACTTTGAAATCTAGACTGTATTTTCCAATACGGCAAATACGGTCTGAATCCGTCTCTGACGTCGATGGTTGCTCAATTAAAACTCACTTCTTCTCACTCACTCATTTGTGTCCTTTTTTGTGGTGAGCTACAGTGTCATTGACACTTTCATTTACACTCACGGTAGTATGGCACGAAGGGTTGTTGTCGTATAATATGTACCCGAGGTAAGTAGTATCTGATATGGTTAGGGTTAGGGTTAGGGAGTAGGCGTAGGCGACATACTCGCCGACACCTCGTGTACTACATATATGATCAGGAGTCTATCAATAGATAGACTCCTGATATATATAGAATAAGATATACGACAACGACCCCTTCCACAGGTACTTGGGCCGTTTCAATAATAAAATGATGGTTAATAAATACAACTTGTCAGTACTAGACCTACCAGTACCAGTAATGTCTTAATGTTTGATTTGACCTAATAACTTCACTTCAATACCGTCCAATACACTGCTGCAACACACATCCTCTATAGCTATTCTGTAGTCACTAATTCAGCTCATTCATGGTATTATATAATATATTGATCTTGTTTATTGAGAACGTGGACCAGGTGTGGCATTATACATGATTCCGGCAGTAGAAGAGAGCGGATGTGAGTGCGCAAACTACTCGTGTGGCTGCTGCGCTCATTTGGACGTCCCGAAAATACACCTAAACGACACAGGTATGATATGCGGAGGCAAACGCGGCTTGCTGTAGATAGGGCTCCGGCGTTTAACGAGATCACAATTTTAGTTGAATTATCCTCCATAATAATATCAAATATTAATTAATATAATTATGTGTTTATAATATTAGGCCGATTTAATTAGCCATTCATCCCAGCCAAGGATCCCTGACATCTGCTTAGTGCTTGAAATTACGTGACCCTGTGCCATTTAAGAGTTTAACTTGATAAACAAAATTCGTTTAAATATCGATTTTCCCCTCGACTACCAAATAAATTCTCATCAGCTCAGCTCAGTCTCAGAGGCAAGTTTAAGCCAGATAACATTTATCCACAGGTCTGTATAGAGGGTGACCCTTGTTGTGAAGTTGGAATTGCCACCAGGTTGCGCTCTTATTATATATAACTCTCAAGTACAATTGCATGCTGTGTTTTGTAGGATGTGTGAATTTCTCCTACTTGCCAGACGAATATGGAGTTTCATTCACGTTCTCTATTGATAACAAGACCATTTTCAACGAAACAATATCAGGTAAAAAGTAGTACACTAACATAAGTATAAGGTACTGCACTTTATCACTCGACAAGTTGCGTGTTCTAATCTCGTAATCTTTGGTAAGTTGTACTCCATCAAGCTACGTGTTCGGAATCATTGGGCTTGCATAAACGCGCGTGTGAATCTCCTATTGCTTTCCGCTTCAGCCAAGAATCCTCCGCCGATCTGCTACGGTGTGCCTTTCCTCGAGGAATACGCTTCGGTCTGTATACATTTCTACGACCTGGAGCTCACGCGCGACAAGTTTCGCGGCTGCGTGAAGCTGGAGGCGAGATTAGAACACGTCGCCGTCGGCGAATACGACCTTGGCTGCTTCCAGATGCCCTTGAGACGGAAGGGTATGCTGTCGCAAGTCGTCCGTCGAAAGATCCCAATTCGCCTCTGAGGTTTTCGGAGAACGAATACGCGGAGACGTTTTTTTTACGGAAATGATTTCATCCTCGATTGCGTTCGTCAACGGTTTCTTTTTACGAGCTGGAGAAATATGATTAATTTGTCGTTGTAGATCGACTGGCAAATCTTGCAATGTCAATAATAGGACACAGTAAAATAATGAACGTGCCTAATTAACAGAGATGATCTGTAAATTTTATATTCATTTAGGTGCATTGAATATTGTATTAGTAAATATATATAATGTACAAACTTTCAAACTTAATGTGTGTAATTTCATTTTCTCTATATTACTTCAAGTTATTAAGGCATTAGTTTTCATCATGCCATACTGTATTGCATAATGCTTCGTTATGTGATGGACAAGTGCATTAAATAGAAATTAAACAGAAACAAAAATGAAATACTTTCATGTATATGTCATGTTTCATGGAATATATGTAATATTTATACAACCCAGCCCATTCTTAGGCCAATGTGATGCTTCTTCATATTAGGTTCGAAATATTTTATGAGTACAGAGTACATGCCAATATCCTGCTAACTTTCACAAGTACTGTGATACGTGTCGCGTGAAGAAAATAACAGAAATATAAATAGAAACAATTGATTCGAGAACACAATATTTACAATTTTTAGCTCATCTGACATAGTCAGATGCAGCTTGTAGAATCGCTTGATCGTCCGTCCGTCTGGTCGTCCGGTCGTCCGTCAACAGTTGGGCACAAATCTTAACCGCTCG